GAGATGAGGTTTCGCTGCCCAGACGGGTCTCGAACCCGCGGGCTCAGGCAATCCACTCACAGCCTCCCAAAGGCGCGGAATTACAGGCTGAGCCACCAAGCCCTGCTCAATTTCATATCTGCACTGGGTAATTTTTACTTGTCAAAAAAGTTTGGGGAAAAAAAGCTGATCTTCAAGTATCATGGCTTTTTAATAGCCTCTGACTCTTTGGTCATATGCCAGCCTTAGGAGCAAGCAGGTTAGGTGACTTGTTCAAGGTCAGGTAGTGCAAGTGAAAAAAAGCCAGAACTGTAACTCCTGATTTAGAGACTCGTTTTCTTCTCACAAAGAAAGTCTTACTAAATCACTTTGTTAGTAGGCTTAAGGTTTCCAGGTTTAAGCAATGTAAATTATTTGAAAGAACAGTGACTGGTCTTGACTATTAATTATAATTCTGTTTGGATTTATTTTATAGGAGGTGGGTGTGGAGGCAAAGAACCATGAAGTATGCGACAACCACAGGTGCTGGCAGTCTTTGTTGTGCTTTTTGCTTTTGCTTTAGATTTTGAGCTAAGGAAGGAAAAAGGTTTAATCCTTGATATGTGCATAATAAAATTCATTCTCAAGTTTTGGATCTTTATAATTTTCTTAGTTAAATGCTTTAAAAACAGTTCTTTTAAGTAGCAAAACCTTTCTTTTTTCCTCAAATAAAGTTGTATGTGGAATTCCCAACTATAAAACATATAAAAGTGTAACAAAAGCATAGTTTCTGGTTGTTTGAGTGTGACCCTCTACCTTCCCCCACTCACACACATATGTGCTTTGTCCTTTGACCTGTGATACTCCTGGGCTCTATAGAGCCCCACAGGAGCACACTTAAAATTATGTGAAACCTTATATTTTTAAGAAGAAATAACTTTATTATAAGCTTTCAAAGAGCATTGATTGTTCATGTGTGATAATAGAAATACATTTACTATATAAACGCACTGGCATGTCATCACAGCACTGATGGCAGGAGACTGGTGCAGTGGTCATGCTACAAGAGAACCACATGTCTCTGTGTTTACAGGCAGTGGAGCAGAGTGATTAAGAGCTCAGATTTTGGAATGAGGCCGACTCGGCTCAAATCCTGGATCCTCTAAGTCTTAGCTATGCAATTTTGGGAAAATAATGTCTTTTTCAGCCTTAGTTTATCCACTTCATTAGGATTATTGTGAGAATTTAAGTCCAGGTCAAGTCTAGCACAGATCCTGGGGCATAGAAAGCACTTACTATAAAGATGAGTTCTTAATAACTGTGATGATTTTTAAAGCTATTAAAACTTGATCTTTAGCACAACAAAGCTTTTAAAATTTTACTTAAGTTGCTTTGTATTTTAAGTTGAAAAAGCTGAGTAATTGGCTGGGCACGGTGGCTCATGCCTATAATCCCAGCACTTTGGGAAGCAGAGGCGAGAGGATTGCCTGAGCTCAGGAGTTCAAGACCAGCCTGAGCAACATGGCGAGACCTCGTCTCTACAATAAATCAAAAAATTAGCTGGCGTGGTGGCACACGCCTGTTGTTGTAGCCGCTTGGAAGGCTGAGGCGGAAGGATGGCCTGAGCCCAGCAGGTTGAGGCTGTGGTGGCTGTGAACAGCGTGCCACTGCACTCCAGTCTGGGTGACAGAGTGAGACGCCACTCAAAAAAAAAAAAAGCTGAGTAATCTAAGAATGTTTTAAATTTCAGTGAAGAGAAGTTCACTGTCTAATATTAGTTTAAGTGGTAATTTCGGGCTCTGTTATGCTGGTTTTTTTTTTTTTTTGAGTTAGAGTCTCACTCTGTCGCCCAGACTGGAATGCAGTGGCCGCTCCTGGCCACTGCTGCCTCCACCTGCTGGGCTCCGGCGATCCTTCCGCCTCAACCTTCCAAGTAGCCGGAACTACAGGCGCGTGCTACCAC